CCTGCTTGATCTGTAGTCCATGTGAGTGGTATGATTTTTTTCCCAACCTTTCACCTTCAGTATGTATTTTCCTATCAAATGAGGCTCCTGTAGGCAGCATATTGTTGGATCTTTTTTAATCCAATCTTCTAGCCTATGTCTTTTGATTGGTGAGTTTAAGCCATTAACATTTAGGGTTACTATTGAGACATTGTTTGTATTTCCAGCCATATTTATTTTTGTTATTTAACTTTACTTGGGTTTCCCCTTTGATTAATTTTTCTTTTAGTTTACTACCTCCCTCTGCTGGTTTTCATTGTTCTTCATTTTCTCTTCATGAAATATTTTGCCAAGGATGTTTTCTAGTGCCAGTTTTCTAGCTATAAATTCTTTTAACTTTTGTTTATCATGGAAGGTTTTTATTTCATCTTCAAATCTGAAGCTTAGTTTTGCTGATATAAGATTCTTGGTTGGAGCCCATTATCTTTCAGAGTTTGAAATATTTTGTTCCAGGATCTTCTAGCTTTCAGGGTCTGTGTTGAAAAATCTGCCCTTATCCTAATTGGTTTACCCCTATATGTAATGTGATTCCTTTCTCTTGTGGCTTTTAAAATTCTCTCCTTCTGTAACTCATTTCTCTCTCTTATTTTTTTCCCTGCCCTTCGCCTCACATCCTCTTATATGTATTTTGTATAACAATTCAGGTCTCCTTCCATCTTCCGTGCAATTCCCCCTCTCTCTCCCATTCCCTCCCACCTCTCATCACTGTTTGATGGTAATCACCTTCTCATGCTCCTCCTCCCTGCTGTTTTGAGTTGCTCCCCCATATCAAAGAAGACATTCGGCATTTGTTTTTTAGGAATTGGCTGACTTCACTTAAACGTGGCTGTATAATCAATCCGATCCTGCAATCTATACACGTGGGAATAATAAGAATTCATACCCCATTTGAAATAAATGTATGATATATGATATGTCAAGATCAATGTAATGTTTTGAGCAACTAATAAATTTTTGATTTTTTTTTTAAATTCTCTCCTTATTCTCTATGTTGGGCATTTTCATTATAATGTGTCTTGGTGTGGATCTCTTGTGACTTTGCACATTTGGCATCCTGTAGGCTTCTTGTATTTGGATTTCTGTTTCATTCTTCATGTCTGGAAATTTTTGTGATATTATTTCATTAAACAGATTGCTGATTCCTTTGGTTTGGACCTCTATGCCTTCCTCTATCCCAGTAACTCTTAAATTTGGTCTTTTGTGCTATCCCATATTTCTTGGATATTCTGCTCATGGTTTCTTATCAGTCTCTGTGCTGTCTATGTACTTTTCTAGATATACTTTGTCCTTGTTGTCTGATGTCCTTTCTTCTAAATGGTCTACTCGGCTGGTGATACTCTCATTTGAGTTTTTAATTTGGTTTATTTCTTTCATTTCAAGGATTTCTGGTTGTGGGTTTTTTTTATAACCTCTATTTCTCTGTAGAGGTGACCTTTTGCTTCTTGAATTTGTTTTTGTAACTCATTGTCAAAGTGATCTTTCACTGTCTAATGTCTTCCTTGAGATTCCAGAACATCTGTTTCATGTATATCCAGAAATCTTTATCTGTCCTTTTTTTCTATTGTAAATGTTAATTCTTCTAATGATGCTTTGTCTTGACTTGACTTGTGGTACTTTCTTGTCTTGTTGCTTGCCTTTCTTTCTAGCTCTGTGGGACTGATGTGTAATTGTTTTTACCCTATAGATTTGTAGTGCTCTTGCATAGTTCCAAGATCATTCCTTTGTGGGGAAGGACAATGTTAACAGTTCCCAATATCAACAATACATCACCTATGAGCCAATTTTTGTTATTGAGACATTTATAGTTAGTCTCTGTCTAGAAATATTGGATTTAATTATTAAAGTATAGTCAGTAGTTTCATAAAAGGCGTACAGTTTCTGGTGGTGGATAGAGAACTGGGGGTTGGGCGTAGGACGTTATAAAGGGGAAAAGATGTGAGGGTATGGGGTTAATATATCTTAGCAACTTTGGAGGATAACTAATGAAGAGGGTTAGTACAGGAGAATAGACGGGAGATAATTTAGGGTAGACAAGTACATGGGAGTACCATAGAATGCATAAAATCAAACACATATTTAGAAAATTACACAAAGTAAAAATAGTAAAAATTAAGAAGTTGAAAGAGGAAGAAAAATAAAAAAAGAAAAAAGAGGAAGAAAATAAAAAAGGGGGGCTTATGCAGTTCCTCTATTATATTATTCTGGTGACTCAGTTCTTAAAGTTCTATTTCATGCAAAGTTCTATTCAGTAGCAGAATCACGCTGGTAGCCATGCCCACCAAAAGGTGGCAAGAAAGGTTTTTCCAAGATGGATTCTTCCTATTTCCCATGTCGAGGTGTCTGGTGAGGTGGGTGGAGCTGGGATGCCTTATGCTATGGCCAGAACTTGGTCTGGTGACCTGTGCGGGAGCGGAGCGTAGTCTGGCATTTTGAAGCAGTGCTGATTTGGTGCTTCTGATCCACTTCTTGTGATCAGCACATGTGCTCTAACTGCAGGCTTTGGGACCAGCTTCTAGAGTCTTCTAGAGTCTTACCAACTGTCTGTTGTTCGCCGCTTAGGTGAAGTCTGCGAAAATCCGCTCTATGGGGTCCTGTCACATGCTCTGAGATGTTGAATTTCATCAAGGCAAGACCTCATGGAGAAGCTGTTTGACTGCTTTCTTGGATTCATGCACAGAGCAGCCAGAAACTGTATCTCCTCTCCTCTGCCATCTTGGACCCCCAACGCACCATTTTTCTAAGAGCCCTTGGTGTGGTTATAAGGCAGAGGTTCCCACTTTACTCCCTTTACATCCATTGTCTGGAAGAGGTCTCCCCCCTCTACTCCCTTTACTTTGTTGTCTGGCATCTCTGAGTTGGGGGCCTTGGTTTAAGGGAGGCATTCTCAATTTAGGAAAAGGAAAGAATGGCTGAGCATGGTGGTGCACACCTGTAATCCCAGCAACTCAGGAGGCTGAGGCAAGAGGATCCAGAGTTCAAAGCCAGCCCTGCAACTTGGCAAGGCTGTAAGCAACTCAGTGAGACCTTGTGTCTAGATGAAAGACAAAAGAGGGTTGGGGATGTGGCTCATTGGTTAAGCACCCCTGGGTTCCGTCCCTGGTACCAAAGGAAAAATTGACTCTGGCCTTGGTTTAAAGGTGGTTTTCTCACCTTAGAAAAAGGAAAAGGTTGGCTGGACATGGTTGTGAACACCTGTAATCCCAGTGGCTCAGGAGGCTGAGGCAGGAGAAAAGCAAGTTAGCCTCAGCAACTTATTGAGGCCCTTTCTCAAAATTAAGAATAAAAAGACCTGGAGATTGTTCAGTCATTATGCTTCACTGGGTTCTATTGCCAATTTTAAAAAAGTTATATGCCTTGTTGAGAATAAATATGCCGTTAACCCATCACTCAGAGGGATCCACACAGACAACTACTCTGCTCTTTGTGAGCCCCGGTAGACCTGTCTCTCACACTCACCCTCACTTCCTTTCGGATAATCTTGGTCAAGTAAGAGAGGAGCCCCAGCTGTACCAGGAATCAAAATATGGCCTCTGAAAAAGGCCTGAGAGGACCTCCAATTATAGGTAGAGATCTAGCTCTATTATCCTGATATAATTTCTGGAAAACCCTGGTAGGGCTCTTTGGCACAGGTACCACCCTACTACCCCCTCCCTCCATCTATGTTCCTTGTTGGCATTTGGAAGATGGAGGCCTTGGCCTGAGGGATATATCCTCAGGATAGCAGAAGGGAAGGATTGTAGGTCCAGTCAGGAGTAAACATGAATACCTTCAGGAGGATTAAGAGTAACTCTTACTCCAAGGTGGTCCTCAAAGAAACCTGCTTCACCCCTGTTAACTCTGGCAGAGCCCACACAGGTCTATCTGAATCACCCCTCATTTCCAGATGACCTGGTTGTGTAAGGGTGGTGAGGATTGGTTATTATTGTTTTGTTGTTTGAGAAGACCAAGTCACCAGAAGGAGTCCCAGGTTCTGCTGGGTATAGAGGAGCAGACCCTGAGGGAGTACTACCATATGCCTAAAGGACATACTGGGTTGAGCCCCTGCTGTCTGCCCTAGGAGATCCTGGGCAGATGTGACTGTGATATCTTCTCAGTTTTTTTTTCCATTGGTCTGAAGGAGGTGAAGGTCTTGGCCTAAAGGGGCAACCTCACATCAACAGGTAGCCACATGTGGTCAGCCTATTGAGATGACCCAAGGTAGGAGTCAAGGTGAAGAACCTGAATTTAGATTGAGAGGACCCCCCCCCCTATGCCTTGGACGTTTGGGGGCCCTGACCTGAAAGGCCCTGGGCACTGGGTTTCCAGATGTGTTGTGCCCTTACTCCTACCTGATAGTTGTAGTGAGCTAGATTCAGTTCAGCTGAGGGAGGAATCTTGGGCCTTTCAATAAATCAGTATGAGGATAGAGAGCCCCTGTGCACAAGAGCAGATGGAGCTTAGCTCTCCATTCCTTTTAGTCTGTTGTTGGGAGGGCCCATCCACTTCATAACTATAGAGATCTTACAGAATCCAATTATTTCTGCCTACCTGCAGTCTGAAACCTGTTTCTCTTACAGAGGCTCCAGAAACTTGGGGTGGAGGCCTTGAAATGAGTCACATAATCCCCAGATCATAGAGTAGAAGAGGGTCCAGCCATGTTAGAAGGCATGGTGAGATGCACACCCTGAATGTGTATCTGGGACCTTACCTCTAAAATGAAGAGACCCCATAGTTCTGAATCTACCTGCTCTGCTGCCAGCCTCAGACTATGCTGGCCAAGTATACCATGAAGAGCATTCTCGAATCCTCCTACAGGTTCCTAGGAGATAGGCTGATGAGAAGGACAGAAGACTTGTGAGGCCCTAGAGCACTGTCTGAGGGAAGACAGCTTTTGTCAATGTTTAGGAGGTTGTTTTTCACACTCTTCCCCTCTCAGACCAATTTGTGTTAACAACCCTTCTGGTTTGTCTTTGCAGTTAATTATGATTCCTTCTAAGCAGAAGACTCAAGAGTACACTCCCCTCCGCGCTCAAGGAGAGGAAGTGGATCCACTTGATCCTGATGTTCCTGTAGTTGAGGAAGTGCTTGCTATAGCTACCTCATCCCCTGCTTCAAGCCTGAGCATCATGGAAGAATGGCCTGAAGCTGGAACACCTGTCCTCTCCCAGAGTCTATTAAATCTTACCCAGAGTCTTTCTCAAAGTCTTTTGGAAACTGCTTTTATTGAATCCAGTCTAACAGGCCAGTCCAGTGAAGGTTCTAGTGGCCAAGAAGGTGATGTAGGTGCCTCATCTGCCTGCAGGGATCCCGAAGTCTCTCTTATTAATATACTAGAGAAAAGAGTGGGTGAATTGGTGAATTTCCTTATCGCCAAGTATAAAACAAAGGAGCCTGTCACAAAGGAAGAAATGCTGCAGAGTGTCCTTAAAGAGCAAAAGGACTACTTCTCTGCAATCTTCAAGAATACCTGTGAATGTATGGAGGTTGTTTTTGGTATTGAAGTGAAGGAAGTGGATCCCACTAGCCACTCCTACATGCTTATCGAAATGGTAGATCTCACCTATTACAGGAAGATGAGTGACCAGGGTATGCCCAAGACTGGCCTTCTGGTATTTATCCTGGGTATAATCTTCATGGAGGGCAACTGTGCATCGGAAGAGAAGATATGGGAGATGATGAATATGCTTGATGTGCATGGGAAGAGGGAATTCATGTCTGGGGACTGCAGGAAGCTCATAACTAGAGAGTTAGTGCAGGAGCAATACCTGGAATACCAGCAGGTGCCAAATAGTAATCCGCCATTGTATGAGTTAGTTTGGGGTCCAAAATCATATGCTGAGACTAGTAAGATAAAAGTCTTAGAGTTCTTCTCGAAAGTCAGTGGGAATCGCCCCACTTCTTTCTCATCCTTGTATAGGGAAGCTTTTAGAGAAGAAAGAGAAAGATCAAGATCTGCAGGTGATGCTACTACTGTAGACAGTGACAATTCAAAGTCCAGATGCTTTTCCTATCCCGAGTAAAGTCCCATAAAGATACCTAACTGCTCAAAGAGAAAAGTTTTAAGTAGTAAAGAGATTGAGAGAAACATTTTCTTTTTGGTATTTTCACATTTTGTTTAGTAGTTTTATTAGCTTCGAAATTTAGGTCTACTAATTACATTGGTCACACATTTATTGCTTATTAGGTTTAATGAGTTTTGATATTTTGAAAAACAAATTGAGAAACTTTGTTTTGTGATCTGCAACAGTATACCATGGTGTTGGAATAAAAATTTTCTTAAAAATGTGAAAATCATTAAATGTAGGAAAATGTAAAAGATGATTCATCTTAAGATTTCTATTTCCATTTTGTCTGATCGTTGTGCACAATTAAAGATACATACATCTTTGGTTTAAGAATATGCAATAAATTAAATATTGATAAATATAGTCCTGGTTTATTGGCTTGCTTATTCTGTGAGCATTGAGTATCTGCTCATTGGAATGAATTGTATTAGCAATGGAGATTCTAAGATCAGCAAGGAAGATGGTAAGATGTTCTCTAAAACATAAAGATCAAGTAAAAGATGAAATGAGGAGGTGGTATTCCAGATGCCAGCAGTCAAGTGTAAATGCCCTGATCCAGGGGACTTGGGGATTTGGGAAGCTGTCATTCCTTCCATGGGAGCTTAGGTTAAGCTAAGTGGTGACAGGGGTCAGACTCAGACTGTGTATTACTGGTGAGAGAAAAGCCTGTAATGGAAAACTGATCTGAGCATTTCCTTTTGGATTATAGATAAACCTGAAAGAAATCTACACCTGGGCCAGGTGTGGAAAGTGTCCAGGTATAAATGAACAGTGCACAAACTAAGTGTCATATGCAAAATCCTGTAAGAGTTTCCTGGGAAATATTCCCTTGCATTCTTTTCCCTGGCCTGGGACAACTGGAGTCCACTTCATTGAAAAGATTTATAATTAAGTTATCTTGATTGTAACTTAGGAGTTAGATTTTTGGTTAGAGTGAAATGAATGAAAATGGTTTGGATGAAGAGCTAGTTTAAATTTCTAGGGGCTTTGAGCTACACACAGTTGGGGAAAATTCAGCCACATCCAAATTCTGTCCTGTCATAGAGGAAAAATTGCTGAGTTATGTGTATAAAGTAGCATTTCTGACCCAATTTGTTGAGTCAAATTATAGAATTATGTCTCTTGAGATGTCTTTAATCTCACTCCCAGAGAAAATAGTAGTTAGGTAGAATCTAGGGTCAAACTTGGAAAATACTGCCTTTAAAAAAAAAAAAAAAAAACCTCCAACATACACCAGGCAGTATGTAAAGTGCTTTACATGTTTAACAGAAGTCCTACACAATAGGACTCAATGAAATCATTTTATAGATGAGGAAACTTGGATTTAGCACTTGGCAAATTTTCCAAAATCACATGGCTAGTAAAGGACAGGGTTGGGACTTGACTCCTAGTCTAAATCCATCTAGCCCCATATTGTCCCCACTCCTATCAGTTTAAGGCAGACCTATTTCTTAGTTCCATTTTTTTCCCCTCAGTCTTTCAGGCAACAAAAAAGAGAGCCTTGAGGCCAAGATACTAAAAGCAGACCTAAAGAAGAAAGTGATAGGAGAAACAATCTGGCACTGTCTTAGTTTGTTAAACCTGAGGTCCTCCAGCCTGAGTTCCAGGATTCTAGAGAGCTAACTTTGCCCAGGTGATGGTATCTTTGCCCCACCCCAGGGATTTCCCAATTTTCAGTACCCTTTCCCTAGTGACTCCACATGCCCTCCTGTCCAACTCTGGAATCTAGCCTGATGACTTATCACTGCAGCTTCCTGTGAAGGCTGTACTCTGCTCTCTCAATGGAACAGCCCAGAATCGCCTTCTTTCTCCCTGATGTGCCATCCCTCATTCTTAAACCTCTTTGATAGCAACAGCATATTCAATTTAACAGCGCACTTTGAAGAATGTTTTGATGCCTGGTCACCCCCATTGAGCCTCTTCAACACAAAAATTATTTTTCAAATGAGCTGTGAGTAGAACCTAATTTGCAAATAAAGTACTGATCCTTGTAATATAACCCTAAAGTTAGAGGAGAGGTTTTGAAATCATCCTGATATTTGCAGTAGGATTTTTAAAGAAGTTGTATTATTTGAAACAGGCCACTGGACACACATACAGTTGAATGGACTTAGATGCTTGAAAACTAAAGCCTCTCACATAAGTGGTAGATGAAGAAAGACCATAGAATATACATAAGAGGTTAAATTCCTAAAACCCTGGAATTCCCTTAGGAGGTGGACAGTAGTTCCTTGCCGCAGTCTGGCTGGGCACAAATAATCAAGCCGCCACAAAGCCTTGTAGGTTCAAACAGCAATTCTTTATTCCCCAACTCTCACTGGCACTGCACACACACTACTCGGGAACATACTCCTTCCACAGTCTCCCCGAACCCCAGGGAGAACTGCCCGGGGAACTCCAAAGTAGCATCTGAGGCAGATTCCCCGAGCCGCCCTATTCTCGGAGCAGGGTCCATATACAACTCAAATTAATCCAGCATCACAGCAATTATATACAGCTTAACTTATCTCAATGGTTTGCTGGTGTCACCTTTCAACCATTCCCTCTGGCAATATGCCAGGCATCATTCTGACTTGGCTATGGCTCTCAACAGTTCCTAGTTTACCTCCTCATGCTGATGGAAAAAAAGAAAATGTTTAATAGTCCTTCCACTGCCGGTGTTTGTTTCCATAGGAAAATATTTGTTTGCAGTTTACCTAATGGCATCTATACAGGTGTTCAGAAAAGTTTGTTCATGTGGAAGGTAGCAGAGGCTTGTAAGTTGAGATTTTTACCATGCCTCAAATAGGAGAAAAATCTCAACCTACTAAGATTATATAACTTATTACAAAGAGCAGTGTATAACTCCCTATTAACATTTACAAGATCCATTTGAAACTAGATGTAACCCTATATTTGAAGGCATTTGAAAAAGTGGATTTAAAAAAAAACACTTGGTTTTCTCAGAAATTCCTCTAAGAAATGAAGGGTTTTTAAAACATAATAGTAGGGGCTGGGGATGTGGCTCAAGTGGTAGCGCGCTCGCCTGGCATGCGTGCGGCCCGGGTTCGATCCTCAGCACCACATACCAACAAAGATGTTGTGTCCGCCGAGAACTAAAAAAAAAAATATTAAAAATTCTCTCTCTCTCTCCCCTCTCTCACTCTCTCTTTAAAAAAAAAAAAAAACATAATAGTAGCATGTAATTGAGCACGTACTATATAAAACCTTATGGAAGAAACTAGAAGTGCTCACCCAAGGCCTATCTTTCTCTCCTTCTGGGCCATTCACCAGTAGTTAGTCAGGAGCCAGTGTGACATTTCCATTCAACAGAAATGGCATCCCTGGGTCAAGATGATGAAGCTAAACATGGAAGCAGCCTGGATCCCTGGCTGTATTAAGAGAGGAAGTCCCTGCCAACCTACATCAGAATTAATGTGCTCATTAATTCTGTGTTAAGCTGTTCAAATTTCAGGTTTTGTCTGTTGTATAAACTAATAGTCACTTAACTGATTAATGCAGAGTTCCTATTTATAGTAAATTATATATTTTAGTAAATATTAAATATTTATATTAGTAAATATTTTACTAATTTATATACTTAAAAAATATTTAAATTACTCTAGGAGCTCCTTGACTTTGCATATAGACCACTAAATATTTTAATTACAAAGGTAATTGTGCAAACATACCTATTGCAAAAAAAAAAAAAATCTGAAAGTTCACATTTAACACAATTCTTACCTTTACAAAGTTCCTCTGAAAGGTCATCGGAATTAACCACAGTTAATAATATAATGTGTAATATTTGAGGAATGGCCTGGGACTAGTTACCTCATGCAGATAAAGGGCTGGGGTCCAACATGCCTTGAAAAATGATCCAGATAGTGTACCCACCTCAGACCATCTCCCTTGGATTCTGGGCCATTGGCACTCTAGAGGGCATTTGTGCTGTGGCTATGACTGCTGACCTACGTTGCCACCAGATACTATCTGGGATAGAGGATTGGACAAAGTGCAGACATTGTCAGGGTAGATGAAGATGGCTTGCTTCCTTGTGGAACTGAAGAGATATGTGGGTGGAATGCTCCTGAAGATGGAACACTTCCTTGTTAAATTAACAGAGATGTGTGGGATGCAAAACAAGAAGCATTGTGTGCCATGCTGTGTGGAAGTATATCCACAATCAAGAGGGCATTTAGGCCTGGAACAGAGTCCATATTGAAAGTTTCAGTGGTAGCTTTCCATGGGAATTCTTAAGTTACATTAGCAGTTGTGGCACTTTTGAGTTTTTTTCCATAAAGGCATAAGGCCCAGGCATGGGGCAGGCTCCATGTTTTAGTCTGTGAATGTGATCCTTTGCTACTTTGATTCATTCATTCATTCACTCATTTATTTATTCATCCAGCAAACATTTATTGAGCAAATGTTAAGGAAAAATGAAAAAAAAAACAAGAGAACACTTAATTTAGCCTGGATTGGGTGCATAGATAGAGGTTGTCTGAGACACAAGCTTAGGAAATATTGTAGTTTGTATACAATACAATCATCCCTTCTCCTGAAAACACAGTAACCAAAATCACACAAAACTTGATAAATCTAGGTAACCATTTAAAAAGAGAAATTACTTACCAATAAAAATCTACCAATCAGAAAGTTTTCCTGTTTACACACACACACACATGTGCCTATGCCTTTTACATCTCTAGTCTTATCCCTAGGATTCCTCTGAAATAATGCGGCTGTTTTACGCTGCTGGAAGCTCTTCAACAACCAAAGTTTCTTGTGGCAAACAGAGCAAGTGGCTAGAGGCAATACTGAGCATAAGTATCTGGAGGCCAAGATTCCATTATCTATCCTAACTGGTGAATAGTAGTTGTCAAATTTTACATGAGAGTGGCTTGAAAGGCCAAGGCAGGAGGATCTCAAGTTCAAAGCCAGCCTTGGCAACTTAACAAGGCCTTTGAGTAACTTAG